ACAGATGAACACTGACACTGTATGGTTAGAGAGAGGAGAAGGAGAAAGCAGTCAATGGGCTGAATTGAGAGCTGTATGGGTAGTAATAATGAGGGAGACTTGGCCAGTTACAATTTGTACTGACAGTTGAGCTGTGTTCAAGGGTTTAAACTTATGGATGGCTCAGTGGGAGAAAGAAAACTGGCAGGTGATGGGACAGCCCCTATGGGGACAACAAATGTGGAATGAAATATATAATTAAATTCAGGAGGAGCTAGTGCCCCTGGTAGTTTACCATATGGCTGCCCACCGCCTGGTGAGTCCCCCTGGGAATCAGGAAGTTGATACCTTCACCAAGGTGAAGGCTATCTGCCCTCAGGTTCCCCTAGAAACAGCTCATTGGATTCATATCAAGTCTGGCCACAGGGGAGCAGACACAGGATGGAGAATAGCCAAATCAGCCAGCATTCTGGGAAAATATGCTGACATCCAACAGGCTTTCCAGGCCTGCGAGGCTTGTTCTTGGTTACGGCCCCAGAGGATGGATGCCATGATGGGATACGTGCACAAGGCAGCTTCCCCTGTGAGAGGCTGGCAAGTAGATTATTTAGGGCCCCTAACAGTTAATGAGGGGGTGTAAATATGCTCCCATTTTCATGGACACTGCCACAGGCCTTACACAGGCCTTTCCTTGCAAAAGAGTAATGGGCAAAGCTACTATTAAGGGGTTTACTGAACTCAGTGTCATATATGGGTGCCAGAGATGAATTCATAGTGACAGAGGCACTCATTTCATAGGTACAGATGTGCAAGCTTAGGCTGAGGATAATCAGGTTCAATGGTATTTCCACCTTCCACACAATCCTACAGGAGCAGGGTTAATTGAAAGAAAAAACAGGTTGCCAAAGTAACAGTTGAAAGCTTTAAGCCCAGAAGGAAAGCTATGGTGGTGGAAAAAGGCCTTTCCAGAAGCCATAAGGTTGTTAAATGAAAATCCCAGTACCAGGGGTGGGTTTCCTTCCTATGAGCAGTTGGCCAAAGGGACACCCCAGGTCCCCAAATCTATAAAGGCAATTGCCAATAATGTTGGTTACACAACTGAAGTGGTCAGTAAGTCCCTATTGCTGAAGACACAGCATGATGTGAGTGTGGGAGAGGGAGAAGTCAGCTTGGAATAAGCTGGAAACTCCCTGCCATTGGAGGGTGGCTTTAATAGTGCCAGAAGGTGCTATGCAAATGGATGGGGGAGAATTGTCCCCCATTATCCTGTTCAAAGAAAGACCCCGTGTGCTGCACTATCAACATGCAAAGCAAGATGTTCCTGCTGGTGTAATAATGGCTCATCTAGTGTATGTACAACCAGCTAATTATCAGTTGGACCTAATGCCTGCTCCTAGGGATGGAACACACATCTGGTTTTGTAGACCAGGCCAACCCCCTGTGGCAGGAGAGGTTATACTCCCCAGTGGAGAAGCAATGGCAATTGTATTGTTAGATGGATGTGATGTACCTACTAAAGTACCGTCCAAGAATTTCTGTTACCCATGAACTATTGTTGCATTTACTGTTAACATGTTCTTGCTTCTTGCTGTTTGTGTTTTTATAGTAGGTGAAATGCCACTAAATTGAGCCATCAGCCCATTACAAACAGGATGCAGAAACCTGAAATGCTCAGTGCCCTATTACATGGGAGAAAGGTTGCCCCACCCCCTCTGAGGCTCAGGGATATTCAAGGAAGATTGTGAGATGCAGAAGAAGGGGTGGAGAGTGTGAACTGGAAGATGTTCCTCTGACCCTGTGATGACAAGCCATGGAACTGCATCCTTCCCATGCTCTGCAAAGAAGCCATTCCCCTTCCCTCTTCCAGCCAATTGGTTGACTATAGGCACTTGCAGGGGAGGGACTAAGGGTATTAAAGCTAGGAAAACCATGAGGCTGGCCCCTCACCATTTTGTAAGGCTGTCCAGAGCCACAGGATTTATGTCTGGGTGTGGGCTTTCAGCATCAGCTGTGAATGGGGGGGTGCCTGCTTGTCTGTAAGTAAACCTGCACCCCAAGTTCAGTTAGCAAGTCCAATAAACTCATTAAAAAATTCTTCGAACCGGGATTTGGAGAATTTTTTCCTCAGGCTGTCAAAATGACCTTTGTAGGAGGGAATTGGATGCCAAGTGCACCTACCAGCAGTGAATTTGACTTACAATGTGTTATGTGTTGACACCTAATTGTTTTTGTTAAATTCATTTGTGCTTAGATCAGAGGTTTATAGTGTCCAGTCCAGTACTGTTCAGTATAGGTGCAGTGTGTTTTCAACAATCTCTTGAGCTCTTTCATTTTGTGAAAAGAAGATGTGAAGCTTTTATTTTCATCTCCTTATTGCTCCTAAACCTTATCGATTTCTTTTTAATTTCTGATTCTATAAGTTTGAGTGTTTTCCATAATTCAACAAAGTAGGAACATGCACTACTCACCCTGCTGTGAAAAGTTTATCTCATTAATATCATGTTCTCTAGATCCACTCAGTATCTCATACTAATCTGTGTAATTTCAAGGCTAATCTTTAAAATATTTTATTTGTCATTTTTATTTTCTATGTATGAGTGTATTGCCTGCATATATGTAAGCATAAGTATGTCCTGCAATGCCTGTGGAGGTCTTAAGAGGACGTTGAATCCCCTCAAACTGCAGTTACGGACAACTTTTAGCCACCGTGTGTGTGCCAGGAATTGAACTGGGGTTCTCTTCAAAAGCAGCCAGTGCTCTTAACCACTGTGCCATCTCTCCAGTCCCATCAAGGCTAACTTTAAGCTCATTCTGCCTTTCTACCATATCGTAATAACCTATCTATCCATAAATGTGTTTAGGTCAAATGACACATCATGACATTTCAAATTACTCTGTAATGCATATCTTAGTCTTCCTGAGGTCTTTTTACCACTTCTTGGAGAGCTGACTCAAGTCATCAGTTAATATAATAAACTAATGCAATAAAAATGGTTTCTGTCATTTAGTTCACAATCTCAAGGCATTTCATTAAACATTATGCAAGAGTTTTGAGGCTAATAATAAATTGCTTGGCAACTCCTCAGGGAAAGCTGAAAAGTTAAAAAAACAAAATCCATAAATTGTCCTTTAACACCCCAGGCCAAGAAACAAACGGAAAAATCTGAAGAGAGTTTTCAGACATTTAGTACAGGTAAGAGAGAAGGACTATAAAGTGCCAGGCATCACAGATATCACAGAAAGGGTTAGAATTCACCCAGGTTTGCCAGCATTGAGCCATCTGTGATCCTGTTTGCATGACTTCTGAGCAGGAATAGAGCCATGCCCTTTTCTGATTTTTTCACATTAATTTGTGAATACTTACAAATAAATTTATAAAGTAAACACAACGGAAATATGCATTGTGTTTATGTGATAAAAATTATTTAAAGTGTGGCATAGTGGGACATGCCTAGGAACCCAAGACTGAAAAGGTTGATTTAAGAGGACACAGTTCATGGTCAGCTTGAGTGACAGATTCTTTTGCCTTTCTTTTTATTCTTTTTTTTTGTCTTTTTGAGACAGGGTCTCTCTCTAGCCCCAGCTGTCCTGGAACTCACTATGTAGACCAGGGTGGCCTTGAACTCACAGAGATACGCCTGCCTCGGCCTCCCGAGTGCTGGTTTCAAAGGCGTGCACCACCATGATGCTTTTTATTCTTTAAATATGAGCGATTGTTTTTGGTATTTGGCAGTGTGATCTTGTGTATATTTTAGCTAATGAAAATAGAAAATAGGAAGAGAAATAAATGAAGAATATCAGAAATTAAAGCAGGGTAGATTGTGTCTTGCTTTAATATGCATTTAAATACTTGATTCTGTAGTGATTCTAGACTCTGTTTTAAGAAATTCAAAATCAATTTAAAATTTAAGAATCATATATATATATTAGGATATATCCTAATTTCTTGAACAAAAAAGGCAATTTCTGCCTCATATTAAGGAGAGAACATTATGCGAAGATTAGGAAGTTTTAAGGACCCAATTTCATCATAATAGAAAAGTGATCTTCATTTCACAGTGTGGTCTAAGAAAATTTTTGTCAGAATATTGACCAAACCATAGTCTTCAGTCAAGACAGCAAACTTTAAAAAATCAATTTGTTTTGTGCTATTGAAATTCAAACCTAGAGAGATAAACATTTTAATCAGTCTTTATCTTAAGAAAAATTTTAATTAGCATGTTCATCTTTTTTTAACTTTTCATTGTAAGTAACTGACTATAATGTAAACATGAAAAATAGTATTTAAAGTATTTCATTGGATTTCTTGAAGAAAACTCTCTAATGTTGTCATCTAAATAGCTCTTTATTTTCTCAATTTAGGCAAGGTGCTTGCATTTCTCAGATAATCATGTAGCTACAGCAATGTAAATAAGGTTTTATATAATTTTAAAAACATAAAGCCACCTTTGTATTTAATTTAATGTTTGAAAATTATGTGCTTTGTTCCTGTGTTGCTTAGTCATAAAGATCTTTCGCCACAGTTTTGCTGTGGACAGGCATTTCTCTTTCTCTTTTTAATTCGGGAAGCATTGGTGTTCATCATTTTTACAGTAATAGTGACCTCCACTTAAATGCTACAACCTTTCTAACCCACCCTTAAGGCTCTGTGTTCTTAGAGACACATCCTTACATTGTAGTTTTTAATATATGCTTCCCTGTATTATGTGCTATACCAAGCAAGGCTGTTACTGATATGATTAAGATTTGGGGTTGTGTATTAGGCATATGTACCTGGTTAGCTATTAACCAATAGATGCAAGTCACAGATCACCCTCCAGTTGAGAGAAGCAAAATTTCTCTAGATACTGAAAAATTATTAGTATTTATCTTTGTATCCTCCATATTTGAAATCTAAATCCTTATGCAAGCCTTAGTTAAGCACACTCACATTAGCCTCACTTAATCCCCCATTTGATAAAATTGAAATGTATTTACTTCACTATTGTGTCTATACAGAACAGATTTTGTGATAACCACAGATGGAGAAATACAACTTGACAGTGGTGACTGAATTCATCCTAATGGGCATCACTGACCGCCCTGAGCTGCAGGCCCCATTATTTGGGCTATTCCTCTTCATCTATCTGATCTCAACTGTGACCAACTTGGGCATGATCATCCTCACCATGGTGGACCACAGGCTGCAAACCCCCATGTACTTCTTTCTCAGACACCTGGCTCTCACAGATCTTGGTTATTCTACATCCGTGGGACCCAAAATGTTAGTAAATTTTGTTGTGGATCAAAATACAATACCCTTTAAACTTTGTGCAGCACAGCTAGCTGTCTTTCTTGTGTTCATTGCTTGTGAACTGTTTCTTCTGTCTGGGATGTCTTATGATCGCTATGTGGCCATTTGTAACCCTCTGCTCTATACTTTCATCATGTCTCGAAGAGTATGTCAGGTGATGGTGGCAATTCCTTATCTCTATAGTACATTTGTGTCTCTTTTAGTCACTACAAAGATTTTCACGTTATCGTTTTGTGGGTATAATGTCATTAACCACTTCTATTGTGACAGCATCCCCTTATTATCATTGCTCTGCTCAAATACTCATGAAATAGAAGTGATCATTCTGATCTTGGCTGCTTTGAATTTGATGTCCTCTCTCCTGGTTGTCCTTGTGTCCTACCTACTCATCCTCATAGCCATTCTCAGGATGAAGTCTGCTGAGGGAAGGCGCAAGGCTTTCTCCACATGTGGGTCCCACCTCACAGTGGTCACAGTCTTCTATGGGACTTTGATATTTATGTATGTGCAGCCTAAATCCAACCACTCATTTGATACCGATAAAATATCCTCCATCTTTTATACCCTGATTATCCCCATGTTGAATCCCTTGATCTATAGCTTGAGAAATAAAGATGTAAAACATGCCCTACAAAGGACATGGAAGAAGTTGAGCATTTTTCTGCCTTATAAGCTGCATTGATGTAAGTTATATAAATCAAAATTGGATCAGAATCTGCTGTCTTTTGTTTTAGAATGTTTATCTAGTACAAAGAGATGCAGTGCATAATATGTACTGGGCATTTTCCAATGCCAAAATCCTACAGATTTCTCTGTGAACAATATTGTATATAATTCTGGATTCATTGAAGGCAAGAAATTCATTATAAAAATTAAATTCTTTTGTGTGGTACAACGTATTTATCAAAATACAAATATGCATCAGAGAGTATATACTGCATAAAAGAATATTTAAAATGTTCCTGTGGCCCTCTCATCAATACAGTGGACTGCTAACTGTCATTGTGTGTGTGTGTGTTATGTAGATTTTGTTCTTTGCCTACAAGTAACGTTCTTGTTCTATGATTGACACACTTCTGTGGATCTTATTTAATCACTTGTGATCATGTTATGAGGTTGGCAAGTGAAGGGTGATCATGTGAAGAAATGAGTTTCGTGGTTCGGTTCACAGGGCCCATACCATAGGCATCAGATTTGCAGTCCTCTCTTTTCATGAATAATTGTACTTTTACGTCTGAGCTGCAGGCAGCCTGCAGGTTCAATACAATATCTGATTTTGTCTAATTAAGTGTATGTGTATATGTATATGTAAGTTAATATACTAATAAACATTAATTTCTGAACTTCTGCCAGAAAGGTTCCAGGAATTTGTTCTTTTGCTCCCTTGGTACTTGGTTTCGTAATCCATATATCCTTTGTCTCATGGATGGTGAAATTTCCTTACCTTTCCAAATTAAAATGAGAATAACGCTTGCTTAAAAATAATAGGCTTAGATTTTATAAAACTATGAAATTACAAGGAAGTTTACTTGGAAAGAAGATGACGAGTGGGGGAGGGAAGGGAGAATGAGAGAGCAGTGGTTAGTAAATATGAAGAAATAATATTACACAAATGTGTGAAAATGTTACATGATGTGTTCCATTCTGTACAACTAATACGTACCAAAAATAATATATTCCCTCAAATCATAGTCAATATGCTTTATAAGCTGAATAAACCCTTTCCTCCCCAGGTTGGTATTGGTCTAAGTATTTTGCCACAGCAGTGAAGAACAAACTAGCACATGCATAAAATAACTTCTCTGACAAAGGAGATCTGTTCTCTCTTCTGCTTTTTCTCACAATAGTTTTAGTTTAAAACTACTAGCATCAACTTGATAATACAAATTAGAGAAAACAGACATACTGTTAGAAGTTGGACTACACTCTATTTCTAAATAGTTTGTCCTACAAAGTGACTTGTATAGATGATCAAATGTGAATATAATGTTCCATTTGAATAGTAAAATATACATGTATGGTGTTGTATAGAGGTAAATACTATAACTTATATTTAATATTTTTAACAATTTAATATTCATTTTTTATTTTTATATGTGTCTGTGTGTTTATGTGTTCAGGTGCCCACAGAGGCCAGTAAGCATGTTGGAGCCCAGGAACTAAAGTTCCGGGCAGTTGTGAGCCACCTGATATGGGTTCTGGGAACTGGACTCCAGTTCTGTACAGCTCCAGCAAGCATGTGTAACCACTAAGCCATTTCTCTAGTTCCAATATTTTATATTCTTTTTTGACAAAAACTATACAAAAAATTCCATCAGAGTTCACATATGTTCAGAAATATTCTGCTTTTCTACAAAATATAAGTTGGACAGAGATAAGTAACAATAGATATTTATTATTGGGTGCAATTTATCAGTTTACATGATGTAACCCTAAATTAATTTATATTCTACAGAATGCTTCAAAAAACAATTCTTAGCTTTTTTACAGAAAGATGAAAGTTTAAAAATGTGAATGAAAATCAAAAGAACATGCAAAGTCATACAATAAATGAGGTCATATTTTAATAGTACCTTAAATGAAGAAGCAAAAATAAATAAAAAAAACCAAAATGTGTTGAGATTTCAAATAGAATGAGATAGTTCATTCATTCTAAAGTCAGCTTGTCACTTAGCCTAAAGCCCAGCTCTACTACCTCTGTCACATAGCACAGGGCTCATATTAATTCAACCTGCTTCCTCTTGGTTCAGGATCTCTCCCTCCCTCAGAAATCTTCAAGCGCAGGACCTCATTTTGTCTAGAGGTGGGAACCTCTTTCTTCACATTCTCTATGTGCCTGAAGGACAACTTTTCAAATCTCCTTCACGCTTTCTATTATTTTCCTCCCAAATACCTCACACTTGGTGTTGAAACCGAGTAGCTGAGAGCTAAGTCAAGAGGGGGCACTGTGGGCAGCACTGCACCCCTCACACTCACTACCAGAGTTCAGCTTTCCCCTCTGGGGACTCCTGACTTTGCCAGTGCCAAGCTGCTACTTAGCAATCGGGTCTCAGCTACTGGATTCATTTTTTTTTTCCAGATTAATGTCTGTTCCAGGACCACAAGAACAACACACCTTCACATTTTAATCAGATAGGATCTCAGGTCTCCATCTCATTTCAGAGAAGCAGTTCTCTCTAGAGTCAGCCCTTGCCTGATGACAGCTCCTCTTATGATCTCCTGGGGAACTCAAACTCTTACTCAAATCTAGTAGACTTATGCCCAAATGGAGACATGGCTCTTAATATCCAGAGCTTTCCAGGCCTTAATGGACCACTCAAGCAAAAAGAGAATCTATGTATTTGTGGCCTCAGAGATAACAGCAGGTGTTGGCACAGGAATGAATAGCCATATAGTAACATGCTACCATGATTTATCTCAAATATACATGAAAGCCTTCATGAAGTCTCCTAAGCCCTGATAGGAATCCAGCATCAGGTATGCTACCTAGGAGCAGTCACAGCCCAAAATAGGAGGCGTAGGATTTCCTAAAAGCTAAAAAAGGAGCATTTTTCCTGTCTTAAAGGAGGAATGCTGCTTTTGTGCAAATTAGTCTGGTCTGGGCAGAGACATAGGAAGACTTTAGCTGACCTTTTTCAAAAATTATACAACTGGCATTAGAATCACCGGACAAATGTTTTCAGGACTCATCCTGGTCCTCTGGTTCATATCTGTTCTCACTCCCTTTACAACTCTCTTAATTCTTACACCCACAGGCCCCTCTCTAGTAATCTGCTGGTAACAGTTTATCCAGACCACCATCCATGAGTACATAGACTCATGAGAAGAATATGCTCCTGATTAATGAGACAGATACCAGCCTCTGAGGAACATTGGCTCATGACCAACCATAAGATGGCATTGGGTGGGAGGGTTCTAACCCAGTGGTGCTTGAGTTCAGCAGGAAGACCCAGATTAATTTTAATGACCTAATCTTATTGGCATCCCTGTCTCGTCTATAAAATCATTCTCCTATTTATCTTTTTTTCAATAAAAATAATTTAATTGCACATTTATAAAATCTAATTTTTCAAATGTTTTTGCCCTTCTGTGATTTCTCTATTGATATTTAAAATTTGGATATAATTTTATAAATTCACACATATTATGATTTAATTAATGTATTCATCATATTCTTCATTTACCCAGCATTTTACTACTGGCAGTGATGGTAAATCTCTATGAAAACAAACTCACATATACACTTGTAAAAAATGTTCTTTCATGTAAGTATTGCTATGGTTAAAAAACAATAATTGTAGCACTCTAGAGGTGGAGGAAGGAGTTCTGTGAGTGCTGGATTGTCTGGGGCTGCACAAGATGTTGGATGTGCTTGTCCTCCATGTGGCAAGCTAGACTGGCAAGCAGTGGACAGATGCCTTCTCCTCCATCTGGGATTCACCCACTTGCTTCAGTCATCACAAACTAATTTGACTATAAACCCTCTGTAGGAGTGGAGGGGCAGAGGGAATCACTCACAGACCCCACCCAATCAATTGGCTTTATCTACATGAGGGGGAGGGAGTAAGGATAGGGACTGGAGAAGCCAGAAAGAGTGGGTGACCTTCATCGTCTTGGGTGACCACGGAGGTTCAGGGGTTTCTGGCCAGGATGTAGCAAGCCAATGTTTGCCAACACCTTTGTAAGTTACCTCCATTACCACCCTATGCTCTGTTAGCCCAATAAATTCCCTTTTTCTCCTAAACTGTAGGGAAAGAATATTATCTATGTTTGTCATAAGGATGGTGGGAGGAGGGAGCCAGAAGCGGAGCCGCTCAGATGTAAAATTTACCTACACAAGACAACCCTCTTTCTATGCAAATGAAATTATGATGTAGTTCAATGGCAAAGCTATTAAGAAGTATGGACAAAACACTGGTCAATTGTTCCTAGCATCCCCCCAAACAATTATCCTTAGTAACTTTTTACAAATATAAAGACCATGGAAACATTAAACCATTTAGTCATTTCTTTTTTCCAAATAACATTGCAAGAAAATGAATTGTTTTTAAAACGATGTAGTTTTAGATTAATGTCAAAAGTATTCTCTTTATGTGTTAAATAGTATATTAGTTATCATTTGATGTATATGAATGTATTTCAATGTTTATTTATGTAAAAATTTTTCCTAATGATTAGTTAAGTTTTTTATACATGCATCTCTCCAATATTTACCAAGGGTATTAACACTTTCAGTGTACCAAAGGCATATGTATGCGTAAAGACTACAAAGTTTTGTTTTGTTTTGATTTGATTTGCCATAGGATCCCATGTATCCCAGGCTGGCTCCAAATTTGCTTAATAACTGAGCATGACTTTGGGTTTTTGATCCTCCTGTTCTTATGGAATTTTTATTTTACTATACTTGTAATCTTATATACAATGAAGATTAAAATTACTTCTTCAAACCACACTAAAATGAAAAATTACAAAGGCATATCACATGGCAATAGACACACAAAGTAAAGTTTCCATATATAAATGCAATTATTTGACCAAGTTATTACTAAAATAGAAAACTTCCTTTTACATGAAGTGCAAATGTTTCTTGCCACTGTTTTTGGAACAAGATGATGATTTGTGTTAGTTAAAATGGCTTATGACTGCTGTGTGGTCATCCAGAGCTCCCTACAAAATGCAGTG